TTTTTAAACAATAGTGAAAAAAGTGCTGGGTCTGGAAGTTGAAAGGTTACAGTTGATACTACACAATCAAACTCGATTTTACTTTCAGAGAGAAACATTGTGAGTTCGTCAAAATTTTTCGACACACTCCTTATATCTTGATGTAATAGATTGAAGGTCTTTCCACGATCTATTTCACTTTTATGATGACTGTAATGACCTATATCCTCGAATACAATTGTGTTTATGGGGATATGATTGTTATTTCTGATAAGGGGGTCCATAATGTGCTACAGTGATTACTCAATATCGAATGAATGTATCTGATTATAATTGAATTTAATGATGTGAAACGAATTACAACATGTATGAAAAATCAAATCTGTGTACCTTTACCTATATAGCTTATATCGATATCTATAATCCTAACATATACTTATACATAAATATCGAATCAAACATAGATCAATATACTTTTTTTGTGTTGTTCTTTTAGTATGTGGGCTAATCGAGGGTCAAATCGATTCAGACTTCTTCCTGTTCTTGCGTTCTTTTATGTCTTCATATATTATATTCATCAACGCAATGTTGAGAGATATGACGCAGACGTTGGTATAATACTAAGAAGAAACAATTGAATTCATTCATTTATTTTCAATTAATTCAAGTTTTGGCTGCGAAGCTATAGCTGTCTTAGAGAGTGATTGAGTTACAGAGAATAATGTTGCTGCAGATGATGTAGTTTCAGTATTTTCTAGGTGCTCTTGGTCATATAAATAAATTGATCATGAAATGATGAGATCAGATGATGATACAATTGAATTGGTATAATCTGACGTGAGTCGTTATACAATTTCAATAATTCAAATAAAGATATTTCCTCATCCACAAAAGTTCTACTCGATGATCATAGTGATTTCCATGCACTGCACTGATATTTTCTCTTTGGGATCCTGCAGGACTAACGTTGCAACTGTTCGACCTCTCATGACTGGTGGAAGATTATAGGTGACAGAAGTGTCTAGGGGAAATTCCTTCATGCTGTACGATCCCTACAAAAAATCGATGGATCACTAAATGTGAAGGTGGAATAATCATCAAGTTGAAAGGCTCCCGAAATGTTGAGCACTGCAGAGTAGATTTTGAACATAACACAATCATGAAATTGTTTCAGTAGAATGACACATCTTCACAATGTGTTTCGCCATACATAGTCTCGCTGATTCGATAGGGCGATTTCCTCAACGGTGAGGAATAGGAATAAAAGAAATAGTGATGAACAGAAAAGAAGAAAAAATGATACGAGAATTGCGGAATTTGATCCTCCTCAATGTGACGTTTTTCAATTCGGAAAAATGACAGCCGTTCCCAGAACATTCTGGAGAAATCTGAAGATCAATCATTTTGTTGGCTTTGCTCGGTGTTTCATACCATGAATTCACTCCAGGGGCATGTATGGTTTGTTGACATTGCCAAATGAAACAGCCCTACAAAACAGTGCGAACCCTTTCAATGTCATGACTACAGTATCATTTTCACATAGGGATCAATAAGGCGCTTCATTTTCATGCAGAAATGAGACGAATGCACAAAAGGACCAAGAATACGAATTGTTCGTTGAGTAATCAAGATTCTATCAAGATCACCTATATTAATTCTCAAGGGTCCTCATTCAGTTTCTGAGATGAACTCCACATGCGTTCTAGTTCCCGTATATTCCATGATGCAGTCAACTATCTATCAATATTCATCCTCGAACATTGAACTCGATATCAGAATTTATCCTAGAAACGTAGCAATAATGAGTTATTTGAGTGGATTTTAGTGAACGTATCTTGATTATTCAACTGAAAATTTGTATCCTCAGTTTCTCTGTAGCTCTTTCTCCTATTCGCATTATAGGTTCCATGTTACTTGGAAATGCCTGTGGAAGAAAATATGAGCCCTAGCGAATGGTTTCAAAAACAGATAATGGGCGTCACATCAGAAAAACACAAGATTCATCATGTATCTATGATAATTAAGAAGATCGAATACTAATACTCACATCTTCTTCCAATAGATTGATTAGAGAGAACAGATGATTTGTATAAAATAAAATATTCTAGGAAATAATGATCTTTTCCCGGATTGAAAACTAACTATTGAAGAGATTGAAATTTAGCAATTTTTGTCTGATTCAATAAACTTCTTGTGTCTCACCGTTTAGGAAATAGCCGTCCCTATCAATCATAAACGAATTCGAAAATCTGATACCACCCAAACATAGGCCACAACGTTAATCAGCCTTTCTCATAAGTATACGAATTGAATTCGATGATATTCGAGTGATATTCAAAATGATGAATATATCTGGTTTCTGCATCAGAATCAGATGAATTTTCTTTGGAGAATGTTATTTATCACTATGATTATACTATGAACATCCTCTTCAATATGCTGTGCATGTTCCTGCATTCTAATCATGTTGGATTAATGAACATTTTTCATTCTCCTTCACTGGAACTCGAATTGTTCTTTTCTCATTTATTTTTACTCAAAATACATTATCACATTCAATGATCAGGAAAAGCAATGAATTCCTATTTCAGACAACAACTCCATGACAATATCTCCGAGCTATCTTCACCTACATAAATATACCAAGTTTTTCAACAAATCTACCTCAGGTATTAGCAGTACTTGGAGTTGTTGAGATGTCCCCACCTCGTTAGCATGTACGAAGTTGAAGACACGTTCGTGCAAAACATCACAATAGTGGGGTTTGTGTATGTTTTCATTCATACGGAATCCTCCACATACTGCAGCAAAGTACTTGCAATAACATTGAACATTGCTTCTACTCAGGTGAGTTGAGAAAATTTGAATGTGATGAAAGGTTATCTGTTTGATGTGAGTACGCTTATCAATAAATTATTCACACCTCTTTCATTTAGACGAAAATGACAGCTGCCTCAAGTTCGATTCAGCTTCAATTGATGTAGAAATTAATGGTGAGAATGAAATTTCGGAGCAAATTTTGATTTCGATATCATCACTATCGCTCAAATAAGAGCTATATTATCAGGAAGATCTCATTTTGTGGACCCAAATTCGGTAGTAGTGGTATTGTGATTTCATATGATAAAGAGACCGAAGTGAGTCTAAGATGCTGGTCATCCAAAGGATTTGTTGAAAAACTGATGGGGAGCAGATTCACCAGCATAGTAAAAAATGAATCTAATGATGAACCTGTTATGTATTGATCCAACTTTTCTCACCAATCTCATGTTAGTAAGTTTTTTTCTACAAGTGTTTTATTTATACCATTTTTTATAGATGTCTTGATAAAGGAAATGAACATTTCCGAAAGCTCGGTTATGTAACAAAGAGTTCTCATTTAAGGCCAAAATTCTGACTGCATCCCCAACACGAAGAAATATTGTGATATTTTTTCTACCTTCAGATCATTATATATATATATATATATATATATATATATATATATATATATATATATATATAAAAGAGGAGAGTAGTCTATGACAGACTAGTTGAAGTGAAATACTAGTGATTTAGAAACAAACACTGTGGTTCAATTCTTCATAGGGTTGTTGTCAAAATTTTAGGCATCAAATAAGTGAACTCTTCGTTATTTAGCCGAGCTTTCGAAAATGTTTATTTTCTTTTTCAAGACATTTGATATGAGATTGGTTCAGAGTTGAAACAATTGAAGAACAGACGATTCATTTGCTGAATATGTTACACAAACTAGAATACATTGAGATATCGAAGTCGACTATGAAAAAGCACCGGTGGTTTACTGTTTTTCAAATTGTTTTCTTCGTTTTAAAAATCTGTATTGAACTACCCAGTATATTTTTCTTTAATTTGGTATGGAGCTCAAACTTGGGACGTTGAATGCATTCACCTATCGGGCGAAGTGAAAATCCAGGTTCGGCTTCAGGAAAAATTTACATTTATTCGAAATATCAAAATAACACACTGTATGTGATAATTGACAAAGTTCATCAAAGGAATCGTGAGGAGGAGAAGAAACTGAACTGGATTTGATGTTTCTGTTTTCCCGCCACCAATTCTCATCGTAACAATCATAAACAGGAAGCTGAACTTACTCAGTCTCACAGTCTTTATAACAGAGATACAGGGTGAATTATCACTCATCCATAAGTATTAAACTACCCATCGCAGTAATATTTTCTCAAATTTGGTATTGTGCTTACTTGGGACAATACATTCATTGACTTATCAGGCAAAATAAATATACAGTTTAAGCTTCAGGAAAATTCTCATTGTCTTCATAACAGAGATACAGGGTGAATTATCGAATTATAATTCCGCCTGATAGGTTAATGAATCCATCGTCCCAAGTAAGCTACATACCATATTTGAGAAAATGTTACTGGGTAGTTTTATACTTATGGACGAGTGAATAATTATTCAAAACCGATAATTCACCCTGTATCTTCGTTATGAAAACTGTGAGACTCAGTAAGGTCTTTCGAGCGATTTTTTGACTAAAATATATCGAATAATCATAACTGACACTGGTTTCATAATCTCAATACTTTTCAAATTTACATACTTTCAGCTTGCTGTTTATGATTGTTACAATGAGAATTGGTGGCGGGAAAACAAATAGCATAAAATTCAGTTCAGTTTTTCCTCCTCTTCACGATTTCTTTGATGAACTCTGTCAAATATTACATACAGTGTGTTATTTCGATATTTCGAATAAATGTGAATTTTTTCTGAAGCCGAACCTGGATTTTCTCTTCGCCCGATAGGTGAATGAATTCAACATCCCAAGTTCAAGCTTCATACAAAATTTTTGAAAAATATACTGGGTAGTTCAATACTTATAGACGAATGAACAATTATTCGAAATCGATAAACCGCCCTGTACTTATCTCCGTTATGAAAACTCTAAGACCTATCAAATATGGTATTTTCAGAATCACCTTGGTAACCCCTATCTACCATTGGAATATTTTTCTTTACCTGTGAAACACCCTGTATACAGGGAAGTATGTCAATTTGAAAAGTATTGAAATTATAAAACCAGTTTTAATTATGATTATTTGAAATATTTTAGTTGAATGATCGTTCGAAAGAACTAACTAAGTCTCACTGTCTTCATAACAGAGATACAGGGTGAATTATCGGTTTCGAATAATTATTTACTCGTCCATAAGCATTGAACTACCCAGTAATATTTTCTCAAATTTGGTATGGAGCTCACTTAAGACGTTAAATTCATTGACCTATCAGGCGGAATGAAAATACAGCATTAGCTCCAAAAAAACTCTCACAGTCTTTATAACTGAGATACAGGGTGAATTATCGGTTTCGAACAATTATTTACTCATCCATAAGTATCAAACTACGCAGTATTATATTTTTTTTTGGAACAGAGCTCACTTGGGACGTTGGAATCATTGACCTATCGGGCGGTATGGAAATACAGGTTAGGCTTCAGGAAAAATTTACATTCATTCGAAATATAAGGAAAACACACTGTATTCAATAATTTACAAAGTTTATCGAAAGAATAATCGTGAACGGAAGAAAAAACTTGATTGGATTCGATACTCCTAGCGATTATTGGACTAGATGATATCAAATAATTATAATTCCATAATTCACCCTGTATCTCCGTTATAAAGACTGTGATACTCAGTAGTAAGTTATTTCGAGCGATCATTCAACTAAAATATATCAAATAATCATAATTGAAACTGGTTTTATAATTTAAATACTCTCAAATTGAAGTACTTTTGACTTTCTGTTTATGATTGTTACGATGAGAGTTGGTGGCGGGGAAATAAAAAGAATCGAATCCAAATCAGTTTTTCCTCCTCTTCACGATTCCTTTGATGAATTCTATTAATTATCACATACAATGTGTTATTTTAATATTTCGAATAAATGTAAATTTTTCCTGAAGCCGAACCTGGACTCTCACTCCGCCCGATAGGTGAATAATTTCAACGTCCCAAGTATTAGCTCCATATCAAATTGGAGGAAAATATACTGGGTGATTCGATACTTA